TCCTTCCAGGGGGGACACACTTCTCTCATCGTTTTATGCAGCTATGGATTCCTCGTTTGTAGAAGTCTGCAGAAATCAGTGTCTCGTCCTCTTGGAAACTTTTAGCCCTTCAAAAAGGATTTCTTGAACGGAAAGAGGCGAAAAGCAGATAGTGCACGGTCAGGAGAATCAAGAGGATGAGGAAGGATGTCGTAGCCACAGGACTGCACTTCCATCTGGGCAATGTGAGAGTTGTGAACAGGGGCGTTGTCTTGTACAAGGCGGATAGCTTGGGTCAACGTTCCGGGCCTCTTGGTTTTGATAGCCTCCCGCAATTTCTGTAGCAGTGAAGCATAGTAAGTTTCCATAATTGTAGTACCTTTTGCCACGAAATCCATCGTCACTACTGCATGCTGGCACCAAAAGACTATGAACATGATCTTGCCAGCCGAGGGTGTGACACGAACCTTTTGGGGGAGGGGGTGCTTCAAAGTGCTTCCATTGTTTTGACTAGGCCTTAGTTTCTGGATCATATATTTGTATATATATATATATATATATATATATATATATATATTTATATATATATATATATATATATATATATATGTATATATATATATATATTTATATATATGTATATTTATATTTATATATTTAAAAACAATATACTGCCTGGTGGCATCTATACGATAAAAAGGCTTCGGAGTCAATCCTAAGGAAAAATTCGGAGCCAGAGTCCCTGTGGCAGTGCTGGCACTTACTGCGACGCCGCTGGTACCAAACCGTAAAGGTCATTGCCTTTGGATCCATCAGCTATGTGTGTGTGTGTGTGTGTGTGTGTGTGTTTATATGTACATATATATATGTGTGTGTGTGTGTGTGTGTATTATCATTATTACTATTATTATATTCATTATATTGATATTCACTATATTATATTTATTATATTGATATTCACTATATTATATTTATTATATTGATATTCACTATATTATATTTATTATATTGATATTCACTATATTATATTTATTATATTGATATTCACTTTATTATATTCATTATGTTAATATTCACTATATTATATTTATTATATTGATATTCACTATATTATATTTATTATATTTATATTTATTAGTATTATTATCATATTTATTGTTATTATTGTTGTCATCACTATCATGATCATAATCATTATCATTATTATTATTTCCTTTATTAGTAGTCGTATTGCTGTTGTTACTAATATTATCATTATCATTATTATAATAATCATTATTATTGCTGTTGTTTCTACTATCATTATTAACATTATTATAATAATTATTATTACTATTATCATTATCAGTATTATTGTTGCTTTTGTAATCATTATTATCAGTTTCACTATCAAGCTCATACCAGGATTTCCTCTCAAGTACGACCTTCTGATTTTTTTTTATGAAAATAAAATTACTATTATTTCCCAAGCTGATATCTTACGAGAATAATCACGTTGTCCTTATTATGACATTTTGCTGTAGTGGTTTTCCCACGGGCCTCCTTATTTACTCATTGTGATTGTTGTCCATTGATCATATGTAGTGCAGTGTGTGTGTATGTATGTGTGGGGGGGTCTGTGTTTATGTGTGTTTGATTCTTTGTTTGTGTGTGTATGTGTGTTTGTGTGAGTGTTTGTGTTTATGTGTGTTTATATGTGTTTGATTCTTGGTTTGTGTGTGTGTGTGTTTGCGTCAGTGTTTGTGTGTTCGTGTGTGTGTGTGTGTCTGTTTGTGCATGTCTGTGGGTATTTACGTGTCTCCTTGCTTTCCAAATCAAGCATTTTAATCAGTCCGCAAAATTTCGTTTCATTATTGGGTTCAATAGAAGAAAGGAGAGTGGGGTTCCCTGACCTATATGGACATGGGTCATAGTAGTAGTAGTAGTAGTAACACCATTACTATCATTATTATTACCGCTAATATCACCATTATTGTAATTGTTATGATCATTATCATCATCATTGTTTTCATTTTTGTTTTTTATTGATATATTTATTAATGGTAGTAGTCGTGATAGTTGCAGTAGCAATAGTGTCATTATTATTATTGTTATTATTGTTATTGTTATGTCAGTTTCGTTAAGTATGTCAAGTATTAGAGACATTTTTGAGTGTGAGAATATTATTTCAAGTTTAGAGTGATATGCTGAATATTAGATCAGTATGATCATTATTTGAGTAGTATTTTAAGTAGCAATGGGGTAGGGCAAGTCTATTTTTTATTTAATCACAACGGCATGGTAAATATAGTCGTTAACTCATAAGACATATTTTCCCTGTCTGTGTCAATGGGAGTTTTCCATGTGAATTATAAATTTGAAGAGATACTACGCTCTTCTTAATCTTGTCTTGTACACCAATACTGACACAAAGGATTCCATCATATCTCCCATTTAGCTTGAATTTTTGTACATATGAACTATATCCCGTCTATTATTACCTACAAAGAGGGTTCGGGGATATGTTCCATTTAGCTTCAGG